AAAAAAAACACGCGAAACAAATTTCAGCGCATGTTTCATTCTCTTCGTGGAATCTTTATTCCTTTAATTATACATTTTCATGCGCAAAATAATATTTATTTGCTCATTCATATTTTTCATGAATTTTTCTATAATTTATTTATCGAATATTATACTTTTATCTAAATTAATATAAATCGATCAGTAAAGTCATATAAAGTTAACTAGTTATACTTTCGAGATTGAATTTCTAAATGCGGCGAGCATCGTAATTGTTCGAAAATGAATTGGCCGCATGAGTAACAATTATATTAACGCTACTTTCTGAAATTTTTCGCGAACGGATACTGATTCATCACAGGCAGCTACGGACACGGTGTACGAGGTGGAACGACCAGCCTTATAACCAATGGGAGCTAAATAATGATAAAATGCGGAAGGCTAGCTAGTAAAAATGCAACAGCTCGTCTAACAACTACGAGAACTAACACCATTGGTTATATTTATATGTATGTACGTGTCATTGGCACATACGTGGTGTCGGAAAAGCGCGCGTACCGAGCACCTTGAAATACTAATCGCATTTTGCGATGAAAATATTCGTTTTATCCTTCAATTAATATTGACAACGATAACATTGTAATTAATTTTTCTGTATTCATTAATTATTGATTCTTTTGTTAAATTACATTTGTAAATATATTTAGATACATATTTATAGATATATATGAGTAAATTTCGAGAGATTCGGAGGAGACTCTCGGTTCGCGCTCTTTTCCCACCTTGGCTTCAAAGTATCTCTTTTTCCAAAATGCTGCACTTCATTAGGGATGCCACATTCCATTTACATTGACGAAGCTTTCGAGAAAAGGTCTCTCTCATAGAATCACACACGATCACTCACTCGCTTGTTTTATCACTAATGGCACGTTGCTTTTGCAGCATGCAAGAGATGTTCTTTTTTCTCTTTTTTTTTAAATTCCATTGATAACGAAAAGCGTTAGTATCGAATCAACTATCAAATCGAACGCGTGAAATCATCGTTTCACGTGCACTCTACAAAAGCAATGTGACGAATGAAAAATTTATGCCGAAGTTCGTGACAGGATCTTTTCGCTTTAAAAATCATTATTCTCCAAATCGTACGAAAAAAATCATTAATCTCCAAATTGTACGCGAACTGTACACGCGTAAATAAAAAAATAATCATCAATCTTTCTCGATTAAAATATTGAATCTCTGATAAGTTTTTTCTCGTTATATATTTTTATATTATAAATATTACACATTTTCCGCTTTAAAAAATTTTTTACTGACACAATAAATAAGCACGCAGATAGCAAGTTGCAATATTTCAGAAAAAGATTTTACAGATTTTGTAAAAACATTCGTTTAACAATCGTGATAACAATGACACAGATGTGTTTTTAAGACCTCAAGTCTTAGCTTAATATAATATAATAATTATTCACTCGTCCGTTAATAGCGTGCTGCTGAAGTATCAGATCCTGTCACGCCTTCGGAATCGCTTAAGCACTAAAAGCGATGGCGACACTTATGCCGTTTGAAGTAAATTCTACGTGTGCTTTACCGCGTGCCAGCACGACGTCGACCTCGCAAAAGATATTTGCATTGCAAAGGGCAAGACGATAGTGCCATTGTCGTTGATACTGATAGCAGGATTTCTACCTGACATGTACGCGTATCTAACATGCGAAATTGTTCGCTCGCGGAATGACTCGCTTGATGCAACTAGCATAGGTATATACAGTAATTGCAAGGTGCACGTCATACATCGTCAATATCGCCGTGAGATTATGTGTTGTGAGATTATCATTGTTTTTTTTTTATATCAAGTGCAATTTGACGTGTATGTGTTAATCTCTTTAAGAATCTCGCGTAGTTCACATAAGTATCTTATTCCTATGCAAATGTTAGATTATGCGTGGCGAGATGGTGGTAAAAAAAGAACGACAAAAACGAGACCGGATTATACCTCACATGGACTACATTATTACGGCTGGCAGTCAGTCACGTGAACACCGGGAATGAGTAACAAATTGACCGTAATACGGCAACGAATTATTAGCTGTATCGGGCTCGAGTGCCTGATCGTGTTCCCTTATCACAGGATTTTCTTTCTTCCTTTTTCATGTGCACTCGATTAAGCCGCTTTCACGCGACCGATCCACGCCGATTAAGTCGCAATACGAGTGGGCAAGAAATAAAAATGCGCGTCGCGCCCGATTTCGCGGCTAGTGCCTCACCGAACGTGTTAGGTGTTGCAAATTGCAAGTCGCGCGAGAGTTTAATTAGCTCTGTCGTCGTCGACGCGTTCCGCCCTCCGGAAACTGGAAGTAGTCCATTTCGCGTTCTACATCACGGTCCCGTGATTGGTCGTTACAAGTACGGATGCGAAGCGACATCGACTTCCTGTCTGTACAACCCGTCACGACCCAGACGGACCGGATTCAACTATAATCGTCTAATCGACAGCAAACACGTGCAATTGCGAGTTCTTAGCAAGCTCTCTCGACGTCACTCCAATATTAACATATCGATAAAACAACTGTAAAACCGTGGATTTAAATCATAAATTTGATGTTAGATTCTAATCAAATATCGAAATATCATTTCTATTTCCGGCAAACGTTGTTAAGCTTTTGCTTACGTATTAATTGATTACAGAGTAATCATGGTAATTGGCAACAATATATGTTAATGTATAATGAGAAAATCGATGTTGCAGATCTTAAAATAGTAACAATGCCGGCAAGAATTCATTCGGGAAGTGAATTGTAGGGTAGAACGCAAGAGAAAAAGCATAATACGTTAAGAAGTATAATATCGGTTTGCGTGACTTTGCTCCTTTCATTGCAAAGCAAGTGACATCGATGACGAAAGCATTATCGATGACGAAAGCATAAAATGTAATATGAGGTTAAAGATATTCTGAGATTTCTTGAGAAACGATCGAACACAACTTGTTTCTCATAATACTCTTATACACGAGTTACATGAGAGTTACTTCAACTTTGTACTTTAACTAGCCGGAAGTATCGTGTGCAAATGTTTGCTTATAAGCATTATTTGTAGATCGCCTCCTTCCATGCAACCCTCATAAGTGAAATAATTTTTGATGAATATATTCATTGTTTTAAGTAAACTAAACTTGAAAATTATGATTTAATAGAAAAAAAATTAACATTTGTGGATTGGAGATATCAGTCTTGCGACTGTCTGAAAAGAGGATTATCTTCTCATTTTTATTACAGAAATATTTATAAACATTTTTTGTCGAGATGTTAAGAGAATTAACCGAAGAAGATTAAGAACCGATAAAGAAATTTGAGTTCTATTTCGAGCATAAAAGAAGATCTCAGTCTTTTAAAACAGACACAAAAAAATTGGAAGTGTTTATCCAGATTCATAACACCGATAAAAGATGATTAACGATCGGAGAACAATTTTTCAGGGAATAGTTCTTGACATGTCGAGATGCTTAAAAAATTTGACGAGGGATAACATCCATAAATATCAAGATATTCCGAGTTGGTACATTAAGTCTTGAGACGCGACCTCGTGCATCTAATCAACAGTAGGTCGCCACACGTGACGTCGACAGACGCCATTGGGATACTGGGTTACCGGTGCGACTTGATGAAGTGCACTTGAGTGTACTGGACGCGAGAATTGAATATGCACTCCGTCCAATTCGCCGGATGCCAGCTGTCGACACGATGTATTACTGCGGATCTTATCCCGATCTCCGTTGTCATCCACAGTGAAAGCAATTTGCATTACAAATCCGTATGTAACGCGAGTGTTACCTTTTTCTTTAAAACTTCCTGTTTTCCCAATATCATTTATATAAACGATCGGCAATCGCGACTACACGTCTCGCATGATGTTTTCTGACTTCTGTCGCGAATCAATAGTTACCTTTCACGATTTTTCGAAAGGAAATAAGTATAGATCTGGCTAATAATGAAAATAATCGATATGAAAATAAGACCTAATAATTCGTAAATTCTCGAAAAATTATCTGTATTTCTATCAATGTAAATTAACTTTCTTGGTTTAACTTACTTCCTATTTTAAGAAAAAGATACAGAGTAAATTAAACCGAGATTAAAGTTAATTCATATTGGACCGAAATGGATATAGAAGCCTAAATCACAGTCAAGAATTATACATAATATCGACGAAAAAGAAAATTGATAACTGACAATGGCACTTCGTACTTGGCAAAGTACTTTTTATCAAGATCAGTGTGAGCTTGTAACGGAATGTCGCCATCGCGCTGCAAAGAAACGTGTACACGCAGTACAGTTGCAGCAGCACGTTCTCGTATTCTCATCAAGGAATATCGCTGTTTTTCCGGCATGTAATATTAGTTCTTCAGCCTCCTCTCTTCGTATCGAAGATATATATATATATATATATATATATACATACATATATATACATACGATGGACCGTTGTTCGTGCTGCTGCATCCGTTAACAAGATCATTACGATCCCCGCGACATCCTCGCATCCAGAACGTTCGTCGGCGTTCTGCGGAAAACTTTTCCAATAAATGAACGAGAGGAACTACCACGTGATAGAAAAACGAGTCACGTGCACGGTGCTTTCGTGGTTGTCACTGATATGGCAACTACACGCGAGAAAGAAGATGAATGACAAAATAACATCAAATGCATGATAAACATTCTGAAAATTGTTGCGAAAGCACGTAATATAAAGACATTTCAATTTGTTTTTCAAATTATCAATAACAATACATGAAAGATAAATATTTCAAATTAAAAAAAATAAATATTTTATTTAATTGTGTTTATGTACATGGATATGTATGGCTTTTATTATTAATTAAGATGTGAATTTAGAAAAAAATATGAGAAATAACATTCGTTCTGGATGCGAGAATTTCGTTGGATATGATATTAGCTTAGAAGTAGCAATATTATTAGGGGTTGATAGGGGTGGCTCGCAGCCTAAGGGCGACGTGAGCTTACCTTGCTTCCCCTTTCGTTAAATATAATTTCCACATCAAGGATTGGCCCAAATTGCTGAAAGGAGAAATATTTACCAAATTCAGAATATTAAAGTATGCGCTTAATATTAATAGCGGAACATAAAATATAAAAGATATATAAAAATAATATATAATAACGTAATTTATTATATATATATATGTTAATATTACTAATATAAATTATATGATAAATTTTGCATAAAAAAGGAAATTTGATATAAACTTTTCCACATTAATAGAATTAAATCGTGCAAATTATTATCGGTATATATAAAACAAAAAAATATTTGTTTCTAGAAGCTTTCTATCATTTTCTATTATTTTTTATAGTTCGTTAAAAATATTTTTATTTTTTATTAAAAGAGGCAAGAAAATAACAGAATAATAATGTGTATACATTTATTTTTCCTTTTATCTACATCACAATCGAAAGAGTGGAAGGCGAGCAATCTCCCACCAACAAAAGCAAATATAAAGACACTGAATAATAAAAACATGAACAAGTGGTGAGAAAAAATTGTACTATTTACCCCAAACATTGCCCTGAGGTCAGGGTCTCGGAAACGAAAAGGTATGTTGCTGACGTGCAAGCGTTTTGGTTGACCTTTGAGGTCGGTGCCTTGTGTCGCTGTCGCGGGTGTCGTCGCGCCTGACGTGACAGGTACCAACGCAGTAGCTTCCACTCCACCTTCGGGATTGGTCTCATTGCCACCGCCTGGTGTTGGTGCTGGTTGCTGGCCACCGCCACCCGCGGCTGCAGCTGCCGCTGCTACTACTGCAGCCTGGAATACCTCCGACTATTGTCGGAAAAAAAAAAACAAAATTTGAAATTGTTCGTTTGATAATGCAAAGAAAGGAAATCACAAAATCCGGCTTGTTGATTAAAACGATAGCAAGAAGTATCATTTCGATTTAAATAGAATATCTTATAGACTAAAATTTATTTCAGCTTGCATTGTCAGGGAAAGGACTTGATTTACAAAAATAAATTTAACACATATCCATCCATATCTTTAAGTCTAATCTTGCAAACGCTCCTTACAATAACTATTATATTTAAACTACTTTTATCATAAGACGAAGTAGAACCAATATAAGAGAATTTTAGAACCAATATATAGGAATATTCTTAAATTCTTTATACTACACTACATATTACTGTTTCCTTTAATTCAGCGTTTGTTCCCTTAATAACCTATTACTTATTCACACATGACATACTTTTCCTATTATTACAAATCCTATATCTTAACTTTTTTCCTCTGCTGCTGATTTAAATCTTATATATGTTTTGTACTTATGTATACGAAAATTGTCGTCAGAAATCACGAAGTTTTGATGATAAATAAAAAATTTAAAAGAAAAGTGAAAAATTGAAATCAGTGTTTAGAATATTTACTGCAAAGTAGATAGAAGATAGATAGAAAATAACTGATGCGCGACAAGAGAATCAATAAAAAGAAGAAGCAAAGTACCGCTGAGACTAATAAATGGCGCAAACAACTCGGTGATGCGGCTACAAACTTTACTTTGCGATACTTTGGCGTGCGTGTAGAGTTACTGTAATATATGCCGACATAATGTGCACAGCAACATGGTAGACGACGCAAAGCGAAGTAATGACTGCGCTCGCGGGATGATGAAACATTGCTTCATTTACGATAAACAACTGTGTAATTAGCGAGGCGGAAAAATTTGTTCAACATTCGAGATATATTCTAGAAAATATTAATGGCATTAATTTTGCATGTGGTACTGCTATTAATAATAACGACGAAGCAGTAATTAGTACCAACATATTAAATGGAAATCATTTATGTCGTTCCGTGACTTGAAATTGAATTCGAAGTGATAAAATATATTGTTATTATATCAAAATATATAATTTCATGTGCGTCGTATGTAGATTGGTATAATGTTTATCATATGTATCTATGGAAAGAAATTTTACTATCTTCTTACTTAATGCAATGAATATATAATGTGTAACGTTACCATTGCGTGATACTATGACTGATTATATCGATGAAATGGTAAAATGGTAAATCACCACCAACTGTATCGTATTAACAATTCTCCTTCAGCGACACAATAATAAATTATACAATAATACTGATATTTTCTCATAAAAAACTATTAATCTTCTATAAAACGGAAATTATATCTTCTAGTTTTATACAAAACTAGAAGCTTTGCCGTATGATAAAACAATGTGTAAATCATATCTTGATAATATTTTGGTATCACGTTCCTCGCATGCGTATTCCGTGTAATTTGAGGCGTCTAAGACATGGAATTATTACTAAAGTACATCCAATCTCGAATAGATCGTAAACAATGATTTATAGTGTACGTGAACGCGGCTATGGAACATAAGCCAGGAATATGATCGTTCGTATTAAGTTGGGAACACGGCGGAAGCTGTAAGTGGTAATATCTGAAAGTGGTCAGCCAAATGGCCGACCTTATCATGCCTGCACTACTAACGGCAAGCAAGTGAATGCGCACCGTGCACGGTCAGACACAGCTGCTACTTCGGGTAACTTGCGAAATATTGGGACATAAAGCTACTATTTTACTAGTAATCCATTTCCTTTTAGTATATAAATTTTCGCAGTCCTAAAAGCAACAGAAATAAACAATTTTTTAAATAAACCACTTAAATAAAATACACAAATTAATTTCTATATACACTCGGTAAATTTACACGAATTATGCATATAAATTGTATTATTAACTAAAAAATTCATAGGTTTTGATTTATTCAGTTTAAAAAAAAATTAATTTTTTTTTTTATCAAAAAATTTAGGTAATTAAATATACTTTTCTACAATTTTCTGCCTTCCTTTCTCTTGTTAATTATTGCATGCGATACCTATTGTAGATCGAATGTTATTATTCATTACGCATTGTCGATGCATCATCGCCGGATTACAAATTGCGATGAGAGCGCGTCAATATACTGCCGGGCCACTTTTATGACGTTGGTGAAAGCTTGTTTCGTGGGAGATTGAAACTTTTTTTCCAGCCCCAATCTACGCGTGCAAAAGAGGCGAACGAGGCTTTTCTGACGCGGTAGCGAGCGAAAATTTAACAGAGTGGAAAGCAGAACGAGCTATACCAACCCTCGTACGACATAACGTCCACGAATATATATTCCCCAATCCATTCTTTTAACGTACACCATTGGCGATTATTTGAGAAAAATTTCGACAATTTTTTTCTTCATTTATCCATTCTTCATTTTATTTCTCTGTTGAACATTTTTTCATCTTTTTATTTCATAATGTCTTTTTCAACGTCTATTTAAGATGTAGCACAATAACTGTGTTGGTAACGCTTTCAAAGCTTTTAAATAATTATAGAATATTATTATCTAAATATATAATTATTTGAATATTAACGTATAATTTCTACATACCGCCACATTAATGTAGTAATATTATGATACAAAGTAAATTAAGTACAACTAAAATTTATTATTCAACTGTTATGACTATAATTTCATAAAGAAAATTATTTTATTAATAACTCAAAACGCAAACAAGTTAATTATTCACAATCCCAAATGTTTTATATATATATATATATATACATATATTTATTTTTCATTTATTATCCATTTATTTTAAAATTCTTATATTCTTGATTTATTATTTCGATCATTAAATGAAAATTTTAGCAGTAATGGATGGAAATTTGTCAAACAAGCACATAATTATGTACAAACATCGAAAAAAATTAACTCCAATGCTTTTTCTTAACAAGATATTTTGCGTGACATATTAAAGAAAATACGAGTATCTCTCTGCTTTCGTTTCGCAATTGGCACTCCAATTTAACGAAATTATTCCGATTTGACGAATGACGTTCGTAGCACGAAATAATCGAAATCGCGTCGGTGGTATTTCCTCTCTCGACTTTGCGGATATTGGTGTCAGATATTCGAGAGCATTATTCTTCCCAAGACTTCGACGTATTCGAGCATTAGCGAAAAACACGATGATTGCCGTGAAGGTATTTTCCCGTTAATTTCATGCTTCCTTTTTAAACCGTGAGAGACTTTTATACTTCGTACAAGACAAATCAGCAAGATTTAAAATATAAATAAAAATGAGAAAGATATTTATAAAATAATAGAAACTAAAAGAGATTTCCTCTCACATCATTTGCATTACTCATATCTCTTAATCTATACAATTATTACACTCCGTTGTACTTATTATTTTTTAAAGAAATATTGTTTTAAATATTTATAATTATTGTACTTATAAGAATCAAAGTAACAAAAAAACAAAAGACTGGGATTTATTACAAATATAAAAGAAACTGAAATTGCAAAGAATTATTATTTTAGGTTGACATTTGTAACAACGCTGCCTGTTATGTCATATTTATCTAAATATAATATTAACGGAATATAAAAAACGCTTTTAATAAATAAATTTATTTTTACTTATCTATAACTATTTACACTTTCTCGAGTTTAATTTACATTCGACTATTAAAATATTCCTAAATTAGGCAAACCTCACATGGAACTGGCAAATTGAATTTTTAAAGCTCCGCATCTCATCGAGCAGTCTCCCGAGTCATCCTCGTTAGCTATGCTTCTATTCGTCCCGGGAATCGGTATCCAAACGAACTACTTAATATTCTGGTAGCGTGCAATGTCCACGGCGGAGATGCGCGAAATACACTCGGATATCAATTGACGCGGAACATTTATTCCCGCAACTTTCGGTACAGCATCGTTCACTTGCTTCAAGCCAATGGCTGACAAGTTTACCACAACAGCAAAATTGTTGAACAAATTTCAAGCGATACGTGCTTTACACAAAATTCGTGTTGGCAAAAATATATTTTGTTCGTAACTTCCTTTGGTTTAATATAATTTTAACTTGTCGATAAAGACAAAAGATTTATTTATCGACAA